CAGATGAGACCAAATTAGAGCTTTTTGTTTTGGGGTTGCTTTGCTGCCACTGGCACTGGGTGCCTTGAACTTGTGCATGGCATCATGAAATCTGGAGAACTAAGGCATTTTGGAAAACAACGTCATACCCAGTGTCAGAAATCTGGGTCTCTGTCAAAGCTCCTGGGTCTTCCAGCATGACAATGAGCCTAAACACACTTCAGAAAGCACCCAGGAATGGTTCAAGACAAAATGCTGGACTGTTCTGAAATGGCCAGCAATGAGTCCAGATCTAAATCCCATTGAAAACCTATGGAGAGATCTGAAACCAGCAGTTGGGAGAACTGGCACAAGAAGAGTGGGCCAAACTGCTAGTACAGAGGTGCAGGAAGCTCATCGATGGCTATAAGAAGCGCTTGATTGCAGTTATTTTGACCAAAGACTGTGCTACTAAATATTGAGCCTGGGGTGTCAGTAATTTTATCAATGTCATTTCTTTTTATGTTCTGATTTAAAAGGATATATTAGTTCTGAATCAAAAACAAAGGTTCTGTATTATTAACAGGGGAATAAAGAATTGTGGAGACCAAATACTTTGGTCAATTTCAACTTATTTTAGAGAAAATTGTACGTTATTTGAAAAACTGCAAGGGTGTCAATATTCTTGGCCACGACTGTATGTATGGAAACTAGTTTTTTTTTTAGCTTTGAGCTTTGATCAGAGGTCCTCCTTGCACACATAGTTGTTAATTACCATATATTTCAGAGGTGACTTGGAATTGTAAGACATTTCTTACTTTGCTTCAGGCAGAGAGGAGGACAAGAGAAAGGAAAGAATAGACAATGCATTGTTACACATGGTTCCTTGCATACAGCCAGTTCAAATTAGCCCCAAACCATTAGATTTGCCTACACTCAAGTTATCTACCCCCCCCCCCCATTACAATTCCTGAGAGGTGGCTAGCAAGGAACTTCATGCTGTATAAACCCCAGTCAGGAGAAGAGACAGGACATAGAAAAGAATTTGGAACACAGACCACTGGACCCAGTAGAGGACTTGGACAGACAGAAGTGGTTTAAGGCTCAGGCACCATCTTCCTCCACTCTACCCTACACTGGACTGAAAAAAACTGAAGTGGGGGGGGGGGGGGGTTCATAAGGAACTTTGTTCAGGATGTTAGGGACTGAATAGACCACTGAAAGATTACAAATAGTTTCTTTTCTGCGTCGGAACGAGGCATGTCAAGTTATTGACCGTTTTCGTAGAATTACAATGCTGAAAATTTCCTTTGGGACACTGGATTTTGGGTAATAGGGGTCCATGAAAGTTCAATGTGGTCTTTAAGTGTGCATGTCCCTTGAGATACGTTTTTTATTGTGTGCTCTCTAAAGATAAGACTTATCTTCATTGTACTGTAGATGAAATAAATATTCTAGTTTGTAGGATGATTGCCTTTGTCTGGCTAGTGGGTGCACTGATGTGTCTAGGTGATATGAAAAACCTGTTGTAAAGGAAAAATTACTAGGTCGCATTGTACTACAAAGTACAAAGAATCCTGACATTTGTGGTCACTATTTGTGACACAAACAGGAAGATTTTCTGTTGTGATACTTAAATGTATTTAAGGCAGATGCAATATTCAATTTAATCTATGTAATGGTTACAGTGTTTTATTTAACTATTCATGTTAAATACTAACCCAAAAGTAATATTTACATTTAAAGTATTTACAGGTTATGGTTAGCTGCATGACGTAAATACTGTAGCTTAAGAAAAGCACTCTTCAAAATTATAAATTGTAGTGTGTCAGGGTTTTATTAAAATATAATCTCTTAGGGCACCTAAAGTCAAAATTCAATACATCCAATCACACTGGCAGCTGAGACAACTTTAACTACAGATAATCAATTTTTAGGGCGATTGATTTACTTACATCTTAACTGCTTTAAATTTCAACCCATTACTCTTTGTCAACTGATGTTATTTCATGGATAACTTAACACCAAAATAGAGATCGTGGATTCTTCAGATTCCGATAAATAGGTTCTGGTTGCTCAACCAAAATGTCTGCTTTCGCTTAAAAGTATTTATTGTTTATAACTGACAGAACTATATCAGTGCTAGAAAAAGAAATCTTACTGTAGTTTACTGCATATTACTTTGTAAAGCCCATGAGATTGACATTCAAGAAAACAAAATCTTCATTTCAAGATGACAAGAGTAGACAAAAAGCTCTGAAACTTGTCATTGCTGTAGCTTTTAATGTGTATGCAAATGTATGATAAAGTGAAACTTTACTTTCTTGGTCCGTTTGCTCAGAAATTGCTTTCTGCTTCTGGCAGATTTTGTTTCTTTAAAATATTGCTATTTCCAGGATAGGCAATATTGTCTTTCCTTAACACTAAACTCTTAGGAGCTTGATGAAAGTCATTCTCCAGGGACTGTAGCAGGGTTCATTGACATTCCCATGATGATGATGATGATGACATGTCATAACGGCTCAATTGATTTTTTTTCAAACATCAGTAAAAATATGTTAATTACTGTATGTGCAAAGGCATACACTGCCTAAACAAGTGAATAAGAATAAAGAGGAAACTAAGTTGTTCTGAATACAAGAAGCAGTTGCTTGCAGAAAAAAAGAAAATGTTTTCGCATATACTTGAGGCAGCTCTTAGTATTTCATAGAACCCTTACACTTTGAACTACATAACAAAAAATATTTCCCAATGCAATTATTTCTTAAACTTGGGAAGGAATTTTCAAAGTTCCTTTAAAAAATAATTGTGCTGTAAAACCTTCATATGAGAATTCTCATAAGAATTTGTTTTGATCACAATTGGTACATAAATCCAATAGAACTGTTATAGAACCATTCAACAAGGTCACTGGTCAAGCAGATATGCAGATCTTGCCTGGGGATATTTAGCTTAGATTTCTATGCAACATTTCAAATAATTATTAGCAAGAAAATATGTATAAAATGCAATAACATGATAAAGTCTCTTTTTGTGCATAAATGCTCCTTAAAGTCATGTTGACATACAGTAGTATACTGAGGCAAAGAAAATCATGATATCATTTACTGTGATTTTTTATTTCCATAATTATTTCCTTTATTGTATAGCTATATATTTATATATCATTCTCATTTACCAACTCCATATCAGGGGGGTGATCATTCATAAAACAGGAATAAAAGACAAAATGGTCTGCATATAGTAAACCCTATTTAGAAATGCCACTTTAGTGGAAAAAAAATCAATTTAGCATATGTACCTAATCAGTGACCAAAGTGAGAGACAGTCTCCAGATGAAAGTACAGAACTTACCCAGATAAAAATTACAGAATCACAGAACAAGCCGAAACATACACTACAATTGCTACGATTGAAACTAGAAATACATTGGAAATGATGGTACAATCCCTTGGAGATGGTGAGCCTTGGCAGATCTGGAGGCCACCTCCTGAAGGTGCACTTCGTCTCTGCCGTTGCAAAGATGCTGACTTGTGCCATGTGGATCTTCTTGTGCTTTGGCCTAAGCCTCCTTTTCCCTACTGTACTTGTCCCACAATGTTCTCATGCCTGAAGGCTGACTTTTCCTACTGCACAGCCTCCTTTGGTGTCCAATTCCATCCTTGTTGCTAAGGTGGGTGGTATATTCTAACATCTCTAGTCTTACCCTAGTGCATTTGTAGCTTTGCTGCCTGGCAGTGCTAGGGCCCTAGGTTCAATTCCAGGCCTGGGGTACTATCTACTTGGAGTTTGTATCTACTCCCTCTTTTCATGTCGGTTTTCTCCTGGTTCTCCAGTTTCCTCCAGCAGTCCAAAAACATGCTAGATAATTGGCTTCTGGGGAAAATGGCCTTAGGTGATAGGGCGTGTGTCTGTTTTGTCTGTATTTCTGCCCTGTGATGGACTGGTACCCTGTCTTGTGCTTGTTGTTTCCAAAGATAGGCTCTGGCTCCCCCGCAACCATGAATTAGAAAATGAGCTCGAAAATGGACGGAGGAATGGTATAAATCTGCCAAATATGCAGATTTCTCCATACAGTGGTTCCAGCTTTAATACCAGTGTTCAAGCATATGTCTTGGATTCCAAACAGTCATAAGATGAGAAAGTAAGATGTCATGGTTAGCAGTGTCAAAAGGAGAGCTAGGAGATCTAAGGACTTGATATCAGTGTTATAGATTTATGTAATTAAGTACTAGAAGGAAAATGCAAACATGTCTTAAATCTACAACACTTTACACTAAAGACAGCACCTAACTCGTCAATATGGAAATCAAAATCATACATCACAATTAACCTTTTGCAAAAGTTTTTTTATTATTCTCTAACAGACAACACCTATTAATATTTGACGCAAATGACATATGACATACATAGTTTTGTAAACAATACAATATTTAAGTATTAGTGTTTGAAAATGACATATGGAATGTAGTGTAGTTCCAAATTATAATTTCAGAAATTATATTTTCAAATATGGTAATTTCTCCATATTCAACAGTGTCATGTGTAACGTGTACTTTTCAAAACATTGTATAATGTAGTATAATGCTTAGAAAAAGCTGCTACCATTATGGATTAATTTATAACAGTAATCTACCTTAGCAAAAATATTTGATATACTATTTTATTTACTAGGCCAGCAGAAAATGTGATTGTACAAAGATAGTTAAAAATATTTTGGATAATCTTATTGAGGACATAATAAATTTCCAATCACTAAAAAAAACTTTTTAAAAGTCTCTGCTAATTAAATATATAATGTTTAAATATATATTACAATACAAGATGAATGAAGGTCATGATATCCCCGCACATTAATTAAAACATAATTAATGTTTTGTTTTTCTTTTTACAAGAAGACATCTTAAATGATTCTAACACAATTGTTACTTTATCAGGTCTGCTAATTTTTCTTCGGTGCACGAAATAGATGATAAAAATCAATTTTTCTTTTAGTATGTGAGTGACATTACAAGCAAGTACTTCAACAGTTGCACATAAGCTGTAATACACTGGTTTTATTTCTTCTTTTCTTTTATTTTTCAGAAATTGATATTAGCTGGCTTCTCAATTCCTGGAAGTTCATAGGGCTTTGTTTTCTTGTTCAATTTCTCTTCCCGCTTCCTCATTATCTCCTTGAAATGTTCCTCTGCTTGCCTTTCCTTTTCCTGCAATTGTTTATTTTCATTTTCCTCCTCTTCCTTTAGTTTCATCTGTAATTCTTTTCCCCACTAAAACAAGGCAGAAGCATACAAAGGAAAAATGTTTTATGACATGTACTATGAATTAAATTATTTGGGAGTACAGTATATATTCTGAGCCGCACCCTGTCTTTTGTCAATAAAGATACAATCTTGCTGCAATAGTTGTTCTGCATGATGCCAAATATATTTTTTATCTAATTCTCGAGAATCGCTGTGTGATTCTGTTCAAATTGGAAACCGTTAAGAGCTGCCAATGACTCATTACTGCATTGAAAAATGAAAAAAAGGCACGTCCTTCTCCCTGCTTTATTTTGGCACACATTTTTGCTTTTATACATGTGTACAGAACAGAGCACTTTGATAAAAAGATTAAAACCAGGTATTGATTTTAATACATTTTAGCAGTGAGATACTGATATAACAGGCATAAACAGACATCTGCTTCACATGTGTGAATTATCCTTTAATTGTTAACATTGGGTCTAGTCCCATTACTATCAGAGATTTAACCATTCAATGAGTAACCCAAAACATATGCATGAAACTGGTAAAAAAATGACTGCAAGATTCTCTTTCATGTCAAATAATAAGGATCATCTATGAAACAACAAGGGATCTTTTTTAAAATATCCAGAAAGATTAAAAACATAAGGAATCTGTTGAAATTAGGGGACCATACTGATAAGTACAAAATTTGAATGATTCCAGTTGATGTAGAAATGTTATCTTTAGGATATGTATTTTTTCACAGTTTTGTAAAGTTCTTTATCCTTTTTATACGCAGCTTTGGTTTGGAATGGCTAGTTATTAAACAGGTCAGGTACAATTAAAGCTCTTGCTCCAGCATGGAGTTGTTGAAGGCCATGCAATTTCTCCACCTGTGTGTGATGTATGCTACTGCACGCTCACACTCTTAGTGAGTCAAGGTGGTCACTGGTGAGCTGCAAGTTGAGGACTCACTGGGTGATTCAAGCCTGTCATCCTGTCAGCATTTGCCCAGTTGGATACTTCTCTTTGGCAAAAGCTGCTCACAGATGGCTGAAGACACGAAGGTTTGATGATAGGTCTTAACCAATCCCCCAAACAAGTACCTTTGCTGGGTGACTGACTAATGTGGCTTTCCTAAGATATATTGTCCGCACTACTTTCTGGTCTTAGAAATTGGAATGAATGAAGATCTTTCTAAGCATCCTTTTTCATACTTATCAAACTGATACATTAGTATCATTAAATATACATACAGTACATAGTGATAGGCCTAAAAGACATTGTGGGTACATGAATAATAAAAAAAAACTTAAATGCAATAAGTAGCAAATTTCTTATTTCTAATTCCTAATGAAAATTAGGGTGGAAATCAGTATTGTGTTGTCTGTTGTTTGTGACTAGATGAGACACATTGATTTAAGTATCACTAGGCTACTCTAAAAAGTTCCTTTGGGGAAAGGGCCATTTGTATTCAATGTTTATAAATAACATTTAACTCAAGAAAATGTAAAAACACAATATCTAAAATGAAATTAGGGAAACTGACACAGGACACACATAACAGTGGATGGCATTTTAAAGTGCTGAAAAGCATACAGAGTAAATGTAATTAAGGTTTTTCATTTTGCAATTTTGAAAAAAAAAAGATGAAATTGATGTGTCTTCTGACTTGTATATGAAAATTATTTCTAATGAACCCAATAAAAGCTTTCTGAAACCTCAGGCTGAGACTACAGTTATCAGTTTGTTGTTTTATTACTTTAAATAAAAGCTAGTGAAAACAGTACTAGATGAAGACAATTATGCAAAAAGCATTCTAATAACCAATTCAAAATATGGTTTGTGTTTTTTCTTTATTTTTATATTTTACAGTAAACTCTGATGTTCTCTTATTAATTACAAATGAAAGGATTAGGGAAAACTGTCTTTCTCAGCTTATTTCTTTCCACTGCAGTAAATAAATGATGAAGTGTTTTAATATACAACAGTACTAATTAAAGTACAATGTAATAAAAGCTCTTAATAGAATGAAGCAAACCAGGACAAAAACATTTTTGCAATGTATCAATATAGTGTATGTGAATTGACAGATGCATACTGTAATTTAAAAAAAAATCAAAGGTCGATCAAAATAAAAAAATATATAATATGTAAGGCATTTTATTAAAAATTAGATAAGATAAAAAAGATTAAAACAGAATATAAAGTAGGTAGCAGAGAGAATTAATAAATGATTGGCCAGCAGCTATATCACTCTGCAACTCACAGCTGGCAAGTGGGTGTGAGCCTGGTCAGTACTTGGATGAGAGACCTCGTGGGAAAAACTAAGGTTGCTGCTGGAAGAGGTGTTAGTGGGGCCAGAAGGGTGTGCTTACACTGCAGTCCATGTGGGTCCTAATGCCCCAGTATAGTGACAGGGACACTACTGTAAAAAGGCGCCATCCTTCGAATGAGACATAAAACCGAGGTCCTGACTCTCTGTGGTCATTAAAAATCCAAGGGCGTTTCTCGAAAGGAGTAGGGGTGTAACCCCGGCATCCTGGCCAAAATTCCCATTGGCCCTTACCAATCATGGCCTCCTAATAATCCCCATCTAACGAATTGGCTTCATTACTCTGCTCTCCTCCCCACCAGCTGATGTGTGGTGAGCATTCTGGCGCACAATGGCTGCTGTCGCATCATCCAGGAGGATGCTGCACATTGGTGGTGGAGGGGAGTCCCCATTACTGTAAAGCAGTTTGAGTGGAGTGTTCAGAAAAGCGCTATATAAGTCTAAGCAATTATTATTAGTATCGAGTCCAAGACAATCAATTGGAGTGAAGAGCACTACGTGTGATGTTCCTAAGAGTATGGTTTTGAATGAGGGTGATGAAAGGGTTACTGGAAAATGACTACTGAGCAGTGAGAGCCAGCTTCAGCATTGCGTCGTCCCTGGAGAGTTCCCCCAGAATATACTGTACAATATAGATCACAAAATGCAGATGAGGGACATGGATAAATGGATAAGAAGAGCATGAAGCTGGGTAGAGGTGATAGTGGATGGCAGCTAGAGTCCTGTGGAGGAGTGAATTCCAGTAGAAATTCAGCTTCCAAGCAGGACTGCAGCTTTGTGACTTTCTGAGATAGAGGGAAATAGGAATTTGATTCCATCAAACAAGTGGAAGAAGAAAAGAACAATGAGGAGCTGGACAGAAACACATAATGGTATCGAGTGAAATAAAATGTGCAAGTGAGAAAAAAAAAGTATATGCAGGCAGGAGAAAGTGGACATGATTAGGTTTTTACCTCTTCCTGAACTTTGTTTAAAATCTGTTTTTAATTTTTCCATTAAATAAGAAAAATGTTTGTAGAATGTGAAAGTAAAATACTTTCAATAATTTTGCCAAAATATGCTTCTGAGTGGAAAGTGTTTATCTCAATACATGTTGATAGTTCTAAGAAAAAACAAGGACAAAACACATTTTAGTAATACCCAGCTTATATGCCCTGAATAGCTGTCAGAGCCATTCATC